GGGTTTGAACCGCCAGCCTTCTGGTTAGCAGTCAAGTGCCTTAGGCACTAGGCTACCAGAGCTCCCTCACCCTTGCCAGTGTCTGATAAAATTTAACCGAGAAGATTTTTCCCTTGCTCTGAGCCTCACGAGGTATCAGTATAGCAAAACCTTAAAGGGGCTTTCTGTTCAGTCATTGCAAAGAGGGCTGGGAGGCAGCATCTTCTGACCTTCTCTAACGTGACAAGAGGAAGACAGATTCACCATCAGCAGCGCCAGGCTTATTCCTGTGAGGCCAGGCATGCCAACAGCCTCAGCCTTTTAACAACTTTGACACCCACCATCCCTCCCACGGTACTTACTGGTTCTCTGTTGGGTGCGATAATTAGTTGCAGTGGCCACACAGAACTCACAGACAATACTCATGGTTGTGGGGTTTATTAGTGAAGTAACAGGCAACAATTCTGGTTCAGGAATGCACTCAGGATACAGTTCTTCTATCAGGACAGCTTCGCCTCTGTTGTGCCGTCAGGCTCACCTCTCTGGCCCTTAGCCTCTCTGCCTGTCCTCTGCCCTGCTCAGGCGAGTGGTACAGAGCTCTTTCAGCTCTGCCGATAGCTACACCAAGGTGCACCCCACTCTGCCAGCAAGGCTGCTGCCCAAGGGTACCCAGCTTTCTGGCTCCATGGGCCGCCTAAGCCCGCCACTCTGCCTCATGCCTCTCGGTTCCACTGTGACCGTCTCTCTGCCGAGGCTTTTCTCTCTGCCACATGTCTCAGCCAAGGAGGTCTAGGGCAGGGATCTCAGGTCCAAGGATGCACACTACTTCACTGCCAGCTCTTCTTTCTCAATGGTAGTGAGATCCCCCCTCGGCCTCTAGGAGGGCTCATTTTAATCTTGGCAGAGTGGCAAAACTAATCAATCCCAACATCAGAGTTATACACTTACTTGCATGGTCCCACCTAGTAATCCAGTGGGAGTTACAAAGACTGGATAGAAAAGCCATACTGAGTAATTCATTGCACCTCAGTCATGTGCTCAAGTCCAGAAGCTCCTTCCCCTTAGTCCACTCTTTCGCACTTAAAAACCCACTGCTATTGAGTCTTTTCTGACTCATAGCAGTCTATAGGACAGAGTAGACCTGCCCCACAGGCTTTCCAAGGCTGTCAGTCTTTATGGAAGCAGACTGCCTCATCTTTCTCCTGCAGAGTGGCTGGGGGGTTTGAACGGCTCACCTTCCAGTTAACGGCCAAACACTTTAACCACTGCACCACCAGAGCACCTTCTTTCATGCTTAACAGCCTCTACAGTTAGTGTTTACAATCACAGTTAACCCTGTTAACCATCAACGTTCACATCTGAATCACATAATCCTATCAGCATCTGCGCCCGCCCTCTTCCCAGACCCTCCAGGAAAGGAGGAAACTGTTCAATAGGGGGATTCTCACTTGACCTCCTCATTTTGAGTGTAAGCACACCCACGAAAGCGTGTAATACAGCCAGTTCATGCCATAGTCCCCCCTTCATTTTAGATAACCAGTTTCTAAAGTTCTTGTCACTGTCAAATCAGTAGTCTGAGGAGACAAGCATGTCTTCTGTTGCAGTTAGAACTTTGAGCATCTGTATCCATAAGCAAAGTCCAGTTCAGAGCAAGCCATCAAATTCCATCAATATAGGCCTACTCACAGTGTCAGACATCTTTCTCTTATTTCGATCAGGCTCTGGTCAACTCATCCCTAGCCCTGTGGGTCAGTGGGTACCTGCTGTAGGCTTGGTGGTCCACACACCTCCCTGCACTTCAGACCGACTAGCTGCTTCTGGCCTGGGGCAGCAGACGCCACTCATAGGTTCAGGAGTCTACATAACTCCCTGCATTTCAGACCATCCTGGTGGGCTAGGGTCTCGATGGAACATGTCCAGACACAGCCCAGCTCTTCATTGCTGCATCTCCCTCACTTCCACTCACCAAGAGGACACCACCACAGGCTTGGTCACCACAGTCGAGGTTAGTAGGCTGTCTGTTTGCCAGATACCCTTACCTTCCAGTCCTAGAAGGAGGTTCTGATGATTAAAAACGGCTCACCTTGATGATCTTCCCGTTCATGTGCATATGGCCTTCAGCCTCTGGGTGGGTGAAACCAGTAAAGTCTGGACTCCTGTCAGTCATCCTGTTTAGCTGGTGTGGCTTTTGCTCCAGGCTGCTCTCGATGCAGTTTTTCTCACCCCAGCTGCAACATAACATCTCGTACTTTTTTTTAGCTGGAAAACAGTGATTTTATTTTATAATATCTTGCAAAAGTGGCACTAGGTAGGATGGAGACAATAATAAA